ATAGGAAGATTGGGAAGTTTTCTTTGTACTTTCCTTCTCCAGAACAACAACAACAACAAGAAAATAATGATGAACAGTAGAACAGATTACCTAAGAAGGAAGTGCAAAGAAAGGTGATTGACTGTGGGGAAATAAAAAACCAGTGTTTTTTGCTGTGGAAAAAGCAGTTAAGGATGGCAACTGTCAGAAGAGTAGACAGTATAAAATCTGATTAAGAAAAAAATGCAAAACAACAAAAGTGACTAAAGATGGCAGTTGAGGTACTGAAGATGTGGAATGCTTCAAGACACATAAAATCAGTATTTGAAAAGATGAAAAAAGCAAGACTGCACATCTGATAGGAATACAGTAAGAAGTAGAGATGTGTGGGGGACATGACTATTGCAGAAATGTATAGTGGATTTTGCATACCTTCACTGTCACACAAATAGTCTCTCATGTACATAATGTTCTAAAGAGAATGCCATTATTTTTTCTGCAAATTTATGGGCATTATTCCAGAAAGGAATGCATATAGGGAGAGAAAGCACAGTGTTAGTCAAGGCAGTGAATACTGAAGAAGAAAAAAATATTAAGTACAGAACCAACAGAATTCTGATAAACAAACTTGGAATGGTGAAGGAGAGGATAAAATGTATTTTAAATCTAGAGAATAAAAATTTGTGTTACACAGCTGCCACGTGTATGGTTTATTAAATACTGAAATGCTAACATGTTTAGGAGGATGCCAGAGGAACACCTCTCAGAACCGTTGTTAGAACCTATGACATGCAGAGAAAATGGTTCAGTAAAATAAGAGAAGAAATGAGAGGCATAAGAAAAGACAGCGAGGTTGCATTATGTTCCTGGAACATCTTCCCATATGACAAGTGGGGCAAGGAAATGGTAGAAAGTGGATAAATTGAGACATACAAAGCAAGTTTAGAGATTTTAAAGCTGCAAATCCTGCCAGAAGGAAGTGAGGAGTACTGCACAGTGGATATCTTCCTCCGAGTGAAACCTCTTTTTGATGTGAGCTGATCAGTCATTTTAGGAAAACATCAGAGTAGTGATGGAGTGCTCAAACTAACACAATGAAGTGCAGAGAGAATATAAGACATTCATTTTCTTTTTTTTTCTCGATCGCTATTTATTACCTTCTATACTTCTCAAAAAATGCTGAAACCACTGGCTGTCAATAAGATGTACTTAGTATGAACAAGGGGAATAGTCCTTCATAAAGAACATAAGCATTGATCCCTATTACAGACAGATGGAATATCAGAAATTCACTGGCTCCGTAATTGTATCATGCTAACTACATAACTACTTTGTTTTAATTAGAAGTTCTTATTAAGCTAACAAATAAGAATTATTAATTCTGTTCTGTAAAATTAATGTTATGTAGAAATAGTGATAATGAAAAAAATACGGATCTAATTTTGACATCAAATACATTATACAACTGTAATAAGTATTTAATTGCAAAATGATATAAAATCTAAGCTTATGGTTTTGTCTAACTTGTCTCATTTGTAAGGAGACAAGTCAAAGTGGTATAGGAGCTTTTTTGAAAGGTTACAGGACATATTACATATGGAGTGATATTCACAACGATTCCTGTCAGTAGTGACTTTGGACTACATAATCAGCTCCAAAGCTCTTGGGACAAAATACACACATACAAGTGTAAGAGGTAAATGGCAGTGATAACTCACAACTCTGGTACAGCTGAATCTACTGAAGTTTCTAGATGTTTTAAAATTTACTTTGTTTAAGTGCCACAAATACTTTAAAATATCTTATGAATTTTTACAGTATTATACAACATGATTACAGTATTAATACTAAACAGAGCTACCTTGTTTGTTCTTTCACCTCATCTACATAAATTTTCATAGCCATCTTGCTTTGAAACAGTGCCTCTAGTTTTCTGGACAGTTATTAATTATCTCCCTGTTTTCAAAATTTATTCCTCCTTAGAAACATTAATGATAATTTTTAACAAAATGAGCATATCAGCTTTAAAGTAATTGAAAAATAAGCAGCTAGTTAACTATGGAATCAGGTACTGAGACATTTTACGTTCACCACTTCCATCATTAAAGGAGAGGTTTTGAAATTTTTTTTTTTGCACGGAAATGAATAGTCACAAAGCATTAGAGTCTTAGACTATATCAGGCCTCATTCTTCAAGTACATTTATTAATGATTCATGCCATGGAAATCTTCATTCTTGCCTCTGTGACCTTCTTCACAGAAGAAGAACTTCAAATTGTGGATTATTTTCTTCAGGTACCAGCTTGGGTCTATATGCTAACTCTCCTCTCTCTGAGTATTTCTTTTTCATAGTTTGGGTCATGATACATTTTTCCTAGGCTTATTATATTTTATAAACAGAAGCATATTGTAGAGAAGTACAGAGGCAATATTCTTCTTTCTGAAGAGTTATTATCCTTAACAGCCTCTTTGTAATTAGCTTTTAAAATTTTTTGCTTGCTTTAAGCTTTCTCTCAAAAAAACACTGTTATAGAACAGCATGTTCATGAATATATTCAGTAATCTTTTTTTCCCAATAATAAGTAACACATGGAAATAATTTAGTTGTTCACTAAGATTATAGGCTAGCCAAGGTTCCAGGTATTATTACTTAATGAAGAGCACTTTCAAGATCAAAATCTCAGAATCTTTTGTCTGCAAGTTTCAAAACTGTTTACGTTATTGATACTTTTGAACTCTACAGAAGCTTAATGGAACTTATATTCTGAACCCATGCTGGCACTAAGTTAGTGGGACTTAACCTGGCATATTAATTTTTAAATATAATTACAAACTTCTCGCAATAAGTACTCCAAGAAGGTAGAAGCAGCACACAATTTGCTTAAAGGCAGGGAAGTTGAATTCTGTCAGTAAGTCTTCCACTAATTCACTCAGTGACTTAGAATGGTTACTAAAGCCAGCAGTTTTAAAAGCCAGCAGCTAAACTAAGGTACCAAAAAACACTTCAAGGGAGGATTTACATTGACTGTAGGAGGCTCTGAATCAGTCTGCAATGGCTGATTAGTAAAATGTGCTGAATACTTGCACTAATTGCTTAAGTCAACAACACATGGAGGAGTTGGCATCCGTGGACATAAGGCCACTCCTTCATATATCCAACTTTAGACACGTGAGTATGAACATTTGAGCGCAAGCTTTGCATCCCATCTTTTCAATCAGTCAAATAAGCCTTAAGGAACCCCCATTCTCACGTGTTATAGTGGAAATGCTATTTAATTATGCATACATCAGCTGTGTCATGGACAACCAACCACACACACAAACAACTGCCGAACAAGCCCTTTCAGCAAGTCTGCTCCCCTGGCAGTCCCAGCCCTCCCTTCCTGCTCCACTTCAGCCTCTCCACACCCAGCTTCCAGCACTGGGCTCCCTTCCTGATCAGCAAACGCCTTCGTTCCCAAACCAGCCCCTTTGTGCCTATCCAAGATCCCAGCCTCCTTACCCAGCAATCTGAAACTGTTTTGCTGTTCAGTCTTTCCCCCAAGCCCCCCAACAGCCAAATTTTATGTCCTGTTTCAATACCTGGGAACATGAGGGCTGTGCCAATGAGAAAAAGGTTACTGGGATTTTCAGTATAATAAAACAATTGACTTCATTTTTGGAAAGAGCAGAACAACTTGGGGTGAAATTCTCCTTTTCTGCCATACACATGTGGACACACACAATTACACAAAAGTCCTGTGAAAGAAAATAATGTTTTGCCCCAGTGAATTCAAATGATACTAGAAAGATTATGTCTGGAAAAGATATTAATAACCAAAACCATTCATCAAGAAAAGGTGGGAATGGAAGATGGGGAAGGGGAGCAGGCCCTGGAAGCTTGGAAAGTGTTCAGACTACCTGGGAAAGAGAAATGCTAGGTAAGATGAATGGGTGCACTGCCAATTCTGCCTGTGAGGTAGAGAAACATGCAAATTCATCATAGAAAAACAGGTAGCTTCAGTGTTTGAATATTAGAAAGTAGCAAATGAATTAGTATTTCCTAAGAACATGATCAATGCTTTAGTGATAATTTGGAAACAAACAAGTGCAAATTGGGGACATACATATCACAGCATTTTTTTAGTTTAAGTTCTAGTTGCATCAAAACCTATTTAATATTAATGAAATATTTAAAGTTTTATTTTTCTCTTCTTTTTCCTGTGTGCTATAGTACAACAGGACAAATGAGTTTGCTAGTGCTACATTTGAGTGCTTTGAAGAAACTGCTATTATTTAGTGCCAGCTAATAATATACTAATAATACTAACTGCACGTACAGTACAAATAACAAGATAAGTATTATGTTGCCTTAATGCATTAGTAAAGAATCCATTTCTGACCATTTTCCACACAGACCATTTGCCTAATGAAATCAGCCTTCCTCTTCAAAGTACTGCTTTGTATTACCATGGTTGGATGAAAATAGCCTTTTGACTGACTCAAACCACTCTCTTTCATTACCACAATGTTCAAGCATAGTGCAAAGCAAATTCAGTCATACAGCCAGCCTGACGTTGAAATAAAAAAAAAAAAATCCCAGTTGATTATCTGAGTGAAAGGTTCCACAACTGAGCTCTGTGCAGTAGGCAAAACCATATTAAATTCCTCATATGCTGAATTCAACAGGGATACTCAATGTGCAGTTTGCTTGTGTGCACCCATCAAAGGCAGAAAAAACAAGGCTCTAAGACATAAACAAGCTCAGGGGAAGCATTCCAGCACAAATTTTGCCCATAATCTCACTGGGTAAGATATATACATATACAACTATTGGGAAATCCTGCACTACAATGGAGGGGCTACGTTCTGACTTTTTGGGCAACTGCAGTCTGAAAGCAATGGCATTACAGCAATTTAATAGATTAATAATTTTCTTAAATTCCAGTATTAGTATCTGACAGTCCATGTGCAAAATTACACAGATTTTCTCAAGTATTTTTAGTAGATCTATTTTCTTTCTTAAATGTATAATTAACAAACCTTCCCAGTCAGCTTTGAAAGATCATCTCCTCCCATTATCTGCATATCTTGCATAGACTGATCATTCTGAAAAAAGAAAGACAAAACTTTGAAATTGGATATAACTGTACAAAATAAAAGTATAAACATGTTCACTTTTTTTTTATCTTTCATAGTTTGTTACCAATATTTTCTAATGCTTGTTAGTATTGGTGTGACAAAACCACAATCTCACTTGTTCCTGTGGCTTATATCATCTCCTGGTTGTATTTAAGCCAACATCAAGCTCCAGGCTTTACTGAAAACTACAACTGAACTAAAAAACGTTGCATCTTTCTTTTTAAAATAAATAATGTTCCCTTGCTTGCTACTTCTTAAAATGACGAGTGTTGATTGTCCCCTTCACAGTGGAAGGACAGGAGCATCTCAACACTTGAGCAAACACCTGTAAGCGCATTCTTTTTTTGGAACAGTCCTTAGAAATACAAGGAAAATGTGCTTACATCTGTCACACACAGAGAACACAGCTATTTCAGAAGAAATTCACTCAGTATTTTTTGGGGGGGAAGTTCTGCAAAAATTATCACTTGTTATCAAGAACAGTTTCAGTGTGCCATACAGTTTAGAGAGTTTTGGTTTTGCTTTTTCAACTAACTCAAAGATAAAATCCTTGAGGTCAATTTTGTAAAATAAACCACTGTCAATCAGGTCGAACTAAGCGCAGGAGAGTAGTATGCTTTGATTTTCCTATTAGAAAAGTTGTTTTTTTTTTTTTCAAAAAAATTAGTAAAACTTTTTTTTTTGATAAATTTCTTTCACAGAAATTTCTAGCTGAAATTCGTTCAGATGGAAAATTCTCAACCAGCTCTAGTTCAAACTCATTATCAGCGGCACGCAAAGTTAAGATCATATAAGGAAGACATACGGAAGTCCTGCTTTTAAGGGGAGACAAAAGAGGCCTTAAAGAAGGTAGAAAATTAAAAAATATACAGTCATGGACAGGCTATATGAGCTTTCCAGAGAAAGCAAGAGCAAAACTAAGTATAGTTAATGTGGTTTTTTGCCAAATTGGTGCATGTCCTAATCTAATCTCCCTACCCATAAGAAGAAAGCATTAGTCCAATTTTAATAATAGCTGCAGTACCACAACATGACACTGTAGTTTACTAGTAATATCAGGAAGCTTTATCATTACAAACAACTCACAAAAATGCAATACTTGAATACTTTGCTTTTATTTCATAAACCCAGTGCTCTGAAGTCAAATGTTTTTCCATGGATAAATAATGGGACAGCAGGATGTATAAGGTAGGTGAGGATATACTGGGCTAAGGGGTTCATAGCTCTTTTTCTCCCCCTCAAAAAGCAGCACCAGCATGGGTAGCACACAGGCGCCTGCCATGCAGGACAGTTACAGCTGCACCCCCGTTCCCATTATCTGCATATCTTGCATAGACTGATCATTCTGAAAAAAGAAAGACAAAACTTTGAAATTGGATATAACTGTACAAAATAAAAGTATAAACATGTTCACTTTTTTTTTATCTTTCATAGTTTGTTACCAATATTTTCTAATGCTTGTTAGTATTGGTGTGACAAAACCACAATCTCACTTGTTCCTGTGGCTTATATCATCTCCTGGTTGTATTTAAGCCAACATCAAGCTCCAGGCTTTACTGAAAACTACAACTGAACTAAAAAACGTTGCATCTTTCTTTTTAAAATAAATAATGTTCCCTTGCTTGCTACTTCTTAAAATGACGAGTGTTGATTGTCCCCTTCACAGTGGAAGGACAGGAGCATCTCAACACTTGAGCAAACACCTGTAAGCGCATTCTTTTTTTGGAACAGTCCTTAGAAATACAAGGAAAATGTGCTTACATCTGTCACACACAGAGAACACAGCTATTTCAGAAGAAATTCACTCAGTATTTTTTGGGGGGGAAGTTCTGCAAAAATTATCACTTGTTATCAAGAACAGTTTCAGTGTGCCATACAGTTTAGAGAGTTTTGGTTTTGCTTTTTCAACTAACTCAAAGATAAAATCCTTGAGGTCAATTTTGTAAAATAAACCACTGTCAATCAGGTCGAACTAAGCGCAGGAGAGTAGTATGCTTTGATTTTCCTATTAGAAAAGTTGTTTTTTTTTTTTTCAAAAAAATTAGTAAAACTTTTTTTTTTGATAAATTTCTTTCACAGAAATTTCTAGCTGAAATTCGTTCAGATGGAAAATTCTCAACCAGCTCTAGTTCAAACTCATTATCAGCGGCACGCAAAGTTAAGATCATATAAGGAAGACATACGGAAGTCCTGCTTTTAAGGGGAGACAAAAGAGGCCTTAAAGAAGGTAGAAAATTAAAAAATATACAGTCATGGACAGGCTATATGAGCTTTCCAGAGAAAGCAAGAGCAAAACTAAGTATAGTTAATGTGGTTTTTTGCCAAATTGGTGCATGTCCTAATCTAATCTCCCTACCCATAAGAAGAAAGCATTAGTCCAATTTTAATAATAGCTGCAGTACCACAACATGACACTGTAGTTTACTAGTAATATCAGGAAGCTTTATCATTACAAACAACTCACAAAAATGCAATACTTGAATACTTTGCTTTTATTTCATAAACCCAGTGCTCTGAAGTCAAATGTTTTTCCATGGATAAATAATGGGACAGCAGGATGTATAAAGTAGGTGAGGATATACTGGGCTAAGGGGTTCATAGCTCTTTTTCTCCCCCTCAAAAAGCAGCACCAGCATGGGTAGCACACAGGCGCCTGCCATGCAGGACAGTTACAGCTGCACGCCTGTGCAGATGGAAACTGCATCTGCCCACGCTTGCAGCCCTGGTGGCAGAAGTCCAGAGACTTCCAAGGCACCTTTGCAGCCACTTGATCACAAGCAATCTGACAACCCCAGGAACTATTCGGGGTCCCCACGGGAATGGATTGTCTAAATTAATACAGCCTTCCTGAGTAACTGTAAGTAAAGGTTGCAGAATTGCCCAGATGACAATTTCTCCAAGTTTGCATACTGCAGACCCACCAAAAGGCTCCCCTTTTACACAGACTCCACCCCCCAAAAAACTCCCACACTATAGCTTTGTAAGAGGTCCTTAGCAGTGATTGCCTTAAAAGACAGTTTTTAGACCTGCCTTCACTTTTTCTGCACTGGATCTAGGAGCTTTAGATCCTTTTCATGCTGCTCTTATTCGTTACCTGGGAAACAGAGCTAGAGTAGGAATGAAGGTTACATCCCATATGTTTTATGCTATATGTTTCAACATTTTTCTCTTATTTTTGTAAAGCAAAACAGAAAGAAAAAAAACCACCAAAGCAAGCAACTGATTTCCTCAGAAGATTATTTTAAACTAAATAAAAAGCGGAGATAAAGAAGATTTTAAGTTCAGGCTTAAAAGCATAAGCCTTTTGTTGTAGAGCAAGACAGGTCACTCCTCAAAAGCCAGGGACATATTCAGGTCAAGACTATTTAATAAGACTATAAAAAACAGACAGTTTCTAATATCTTCCATGGCATGTGTAACCAAGGCAGTGACAAAATATTTTTTCATTTCCAAATGAGCAAGTCTGGAATTTCATTAACAAGCAACACAAAAGAATTACTGGAAAGGCAGTTTGCCCTTAGTCGCTAGTTGAAAAAGAGAGGGGAAAAAGAAGATAACAGTGAGGTGCAACGATTAATGAATTTACTTATTTTTAACTAAAAAAATAATCTCTTTCAGCAGCCTTCACAGCAGCACTGTTTCCTTTGCATTTGGTATTTCTGGCTCCAGCTGAAAGGAAGATGCTGAAATAGCATCTTCGCTGCTGGCAAGCAGTTAAGCAAACACAAAAGTCATTGAGAGCCAGGGGATCACAGCATCCCAACAATCTGCATATTCACACATTGGCTGTTATGACACAACTGCACGCAATTATGAAAATTCTCATGTTCAGACCAGAGAACAATTGCTGTCAGAGGACAGGGCTCAGTATTCACTGTGCCTAAAATCCATATAGTAAAATGCAGCTCAGAACCCTCCAGCCAAGGTGCTTTCAAGAAATTTAAAGAAATTACTTGCATCGCTCAGTAGAGCAATTCTCTTGCAAAAAAAAAAAAAAAAAATTCAGATAATTGATTTTAATGCCATTTATAACTACCTCTACATTCATCAATTAACTCGTATTGTAAAATAGATACCTGCCAAACAGCAAGGCACAATACCACGATGTCACATTACCGTAATCATGATGTTCATATAGATAACGCGCACACTATGGTTGCCATAGAAACCTCTCAATGCTTTTTTCTGAGTTCTCAGTTTATAATCTCAAAATAACACTCCTCTAAATGTTAAGTATAAAGTACAATAAATGTCAGGAAAGAAAATGAATGAAACAGATTTTTCTGTTTCATTCAGTACCAGTTACTGTCAATTCATAATTGTTTGTTTAATTTTCATGGTCTCAAGTCATTCAGAGCTTCTTTTTTCCTTTAGGAGTTGTTCCATACCTTGACAAAATTGATATGATCGAGTCTCTAGGACTTCCTATAAATGCGGAGACATGAATTAGAGGTTCACTTTCCGTCACCTGAAGTTCCTCAATACCTGCTTTCTAACAACCCTAAACCCTATCAACACAACTTTTTCTGTTAAATGCTTGACACTAAATATAATGTCCTAGATAGAGATATATCAAAACTACACTATGCAGCACAAAAAATATTGCAGCTGTTTCTAACAAGACATGATGCATTGTGTCACATCCCTACACCTCATCCCAAGCTATATTTAATACTGCATTTCTGATTTTTTTCTGTTTAATAAATCTGCATTTTCCAGAAAAAATCTCAATTTCTTTGGTTTTATTTGCTGTGTTGTGCTTTTTCACCTGTTCACCTTTTTTTTTATAGTTTTATTTCATACAGACCTTGTCAATATACATCTTTAGATCCTATGAATACTTGATGAATGAAAGCAAGAATATTGCTATTTTCACCTCCATTTTTCACAGCATGCAAGAAAAAACTTTGACTTTCTATGCTGATTGGAAGTATAGATATTTAAATTCCATCTATACTAAGTCATGT